ATTTTGGATTCCAGTTCGTCTGTGAGGGCCATTGTGACTTTCAGTCTTGCCCCAAGTTGTGCTAACCTCATTTTGTCTCCATCCTTTTCAATATAACAATACAATTATTAAAGTTACACTTTATTTTAATTTAGAGATTGTCTAGTCTAGCTTTGATTTATTCAATTTATTAAGTATTCAATCAACTAAGATTCAAACCAGCAATCAACCCTTTAACATAACTCTGTTTAATGAACGGTTCGGGGGTTTGGTCTTCTTCAGCCCATCTGCAGTTAATTTAAAACCATATCTAGCTAATGATATATTAATGCTATCTTGACTATACAGTATCTTACCTCTAAGACCATTTTGGATTCCCAACTTGGGGCCTGACTGACAAGAATGCTTACCGTAGGGTAAGAGTGCATTTCAGTCTGGCCCCAAGTTGTGCTAATCTCATTTTGTCTCCATCCTTTTCAATATAACAATTGCAATTATTAAAGTTAAACAGTTTATTTTTAAAGATTGCTTAGTCTAGCTTTGATTTTTAATTTATTATTAAGTATTCAATCAATCAAACATTCAATCCATCAATAAATCAATCAACTACTTAGTTACTGAATACCAAATGATTTGGGACTTACATGTTTTGCTTTACTCAGGGAGATCTCTTCCTTGAGGTCATCAAAAGCAGACTGTAATCCATCAAGCAAGGACTGAGCATCTGTGGTGGTCTCTTCGCCATCGGTGCTTGAGGCGTCGTCACACTGTTCAATGGTTGGCTCCTTTGGCTTCTTATTTAGATCCTCCATCAACTGCCTCTTGGTAGCCAGGATTTTCTCATGAAACTCTTGGAGCTGCGAGGAGAACTCTTCCAGAGAATTCTTCTCTTTCAATTCTCTGTTGGTCATGAGGAGTTCTGAGATATTATTCTTGAGTCTTTCCTCATTGCGYGTGTATTCCTCGTCCATTTGAGAATATCTCTGAGATTCTTCCTTTGCTTTCTCGGCTTCACATTCAGCCCACTTAACTGAGACTTCCAAGCACTTGTAGTCATGCTGAAGGAGGTAGAGCTTCTCATCTAGGCTTTTTGCCTTCTTTGCAGACTCTTCAATGGCTTGTTTCTGCTCCTCAATGGTCTTTTCAAGTTCTTGGATTCTTTGTTTTAGCTCACTGGAAAAAGACGGTGTTCAGATTAAACTATAGTTGAATTAAGTGATATTTATATCAAAAAGTAGTGAGTTTTTTCTATTACCTGTCAGATTGCTGAAGTTTCTTGATTTGGTTGGCCTTATCAGTACAGCTTTTGCAGTGGCGAGACTAAACAAGAATGTTTAACATTTCATTAGAGGAACATAAGTTACACAAATATTGTTTGAATATCTTTTTGAATTTGTTTAGATWGGTAGATGAACAAATAATTAAATGACCGAACTGTTAAATGAATCCAAAAGTAAATGGATAGATAAATAAGTGGATAAATGAATGGGAAGAGGAAGAAAGGAATTAATATATTGATTGATTGAGGGATAAATGAGTGAAGGGATGAATGGAGGAATGAAAGAAAAAGTGAATGAAATAATAAGTGATAACAAGTGATGGTTGATTAGATTTTCTATGAATTTAATTCTAACCTTAGTGTGCGATGGTTCTGAATCAGTCTCCAATATCTCAGCAATTAAGTCATCAAGGTCGATTGAACTGCATTCATCCGCTGTGTTATCATCACTGGCTCTTGCTTTCTTTTTGCTGGCACTGTCGGAATCAGATCCTTCTGATTCTGATAWWATTGTKGGCAGAAAYTCCAGTGGTTTTATCCTGATGCCCGCRCTGTATSGAGTTTGATRATTATAAGATAAGTTATGTATTTCAATACATTGTACTACAATTCTATAATTTATCCCATGTGATGCTATCCTCGTTGTATGGTATCATATTCCCTTCCCTCCCATCCTACCATTTACTTTCCTGTTCCATTCTATTGTATAGTATCGCTCCCTTTTGATTCCCCTGACATCCTACCCTTTTACCCTAGTATTCTCTACCATCCTACACTCCACTTTCCTGTTTCATTCTGTTATATTGTATTCCACCCTTTTTCCATCCCCTCCCATCCTACCCTCTACATTTGTGTTCCATTCTATTGTATTGTTCCCCTCCCATCCTACCCTCTACTTTCCTGTCCTATTTTGTTGTATTGTTCCCCTCCCATCCTACCCTCTACTTTCCTGTCCTATTCTGTTGTATTGTTCCCCTCCCATCCTACCCTCTACTTTCCTGTCCCATTCTATTGTATTGTTCCCCTCCCATCCTACCCTCTACTTTCCTGTCCTATTCTGTTGTATTGTTCCCCTCCCATCCTACCATCTACTTTCCAATAACATTCTATTGGATTGTTCCCCTCCCTACCCTCT